TTTCCCGACATTGTGAATTCGTGGAATACTTTGCCGATGATAATGTAGATGCATACTAAGGAGATTGCATATGAAGCTGAAAACTGGCGGATGATACATAAGATTGCCGGAAAGCCTACCATAAAGTCGTTTACATTACTAATTGAAATACATTTCGACAAATCACATTTCCAAGAATAATTCTGTATGAGTGCGAAAATCATCACTTGGTGATGTTATGAATCATTATCGTACATCTTCTTTATATGAATCAATATTTCTTTTGCATATTATTACAAATATTATACACATTCATTTGCAAATTTAATTAATTAGGCCTATAATTATAGGCTACTAGCTGTTCCCTGCGTGCTTCGCTACTCGTTTTTATTTTCAATATTAACCGGTCGATTTTTTTTTTCATTTTAGCCAAAAAGTGAACCACTTTAGTATGTCCAAAATTGTAAATTATATTAAATTTATTATTTTTCTGTCTCTTCAATTTCTGAGGGATCATTGCAATTTAATCGAACGTAATCGTTTTACTGCTCTATGATTTTGTTATCAATCCAATTTCATTTGTCATCTTATTTCACGAATATCAAAACTTTCAGCTGCTCTCGAAGTTTCTTTTTTCAAACGATTTTCATGGTCATTTATGGTGTTTCTCTTTCTCGGATATTTTTTTAGCTTTCTTGCATTAGATGTTTTTCTCAATATATATCTTTTTTGAAGGCATTTTCAATTATTTATTATTACTCACGCAGAACAAATTAAAAAATTAAGTTGAAGTGACAACAACGTCGAATAAGTTGACAAATGACGGCCTGAGAAGAAGAACCTTCCCTACAAAACCTGTGCGCAGAACACAAACACAGAAATTTTTTAGTCAAAAGGCGAACAGCAAATTTGCGAGCGCAAAAACCTAATATATTTACAGCGAGCGCATAAGTATAACAAGCCTACTAGCATGCAAACTCCGTATAAGTAGGCCTGTTATGCTTTTGCGCTCGCTGTAAATATATTAGGTTTTTGCGCTCGCAAATTTGATGTTCGCCTTTTTTTAACATGGGTTTCCCATACTAATAAGTGTTTAATGGTGTTATAACACGATGGCCGACCATGATGGCCTTTTTCCATTTTCTTTTTCATTTCAAACATATGATACCCATACCCATATGAACCATTTGCGGAGAAATTCAGTGTACAGTGGAGCTGTGCGGAGTTTGGCGGAGATGCCATACATACGCTATATCTGAAGCAGTGCGTTCATGGCTACTTAGATGTGTATTGAACAATAGAAATGTAAATACAGCAAAGAGTGAAAATCCATATGTGAAAATGGTGTTAGATCGTGTTAACATGACCACGATGATTTTCGATTACGTTACAACGAAATAATTCTAATAAAACAGTCAAGAGATTGAATGTAAATTGACCAATTATTCAAATCGGCACAGTGCTTACATTGTAATGAAATTGTTCATAGCCGTAGCTTAATTGTCTGAGCTTAGAATCGAAATATCGATTTGCTATAACTACATCATTTATACAAATACTCATCAACTTGATTTAAGTTCAATGTTACGAAAATGTAAGGAGGTATTCAATCTATTATATTCATCGATATAAATGAACGAGTAAACACAACCGATTTTTGTAATTAAGTCAAATGTCATTCATTTCAAATTGATAAGAAAATCGCGACGAAAATCTTTTGAATAGCGTTCGTTATAAAGTCTAATAATAAACAATAATTAATCGCATTTCTATGTTTGTTTGAGATAGTGCTTTATTTTTCATTAGGTAAAATTCATCATCAAATGAATAAACTGATGACTTAACACTATATCGTAAACACTCCGAATTGTAACATAGTCCAAATTGTAAAATATTTGCAAAAAAACACGATTTTAACATAGATACGAATTTTAAATGCGACACATTATATACATATTCGGAAAAAGCACGAAAAATTCTATCTATGTAGAATAATTAAACACTGAAAATGTTTTAGTTTTACATTCATTTATCCACTTTGAAAACAGCATCTAGTTTTCCACTCGTTTTGAGAGGAAAAGTTGAACTATGTTGCAATGTCATGCTTCCCAATTCATTGGTTTTTCCACTAAATACAGTACAAAATATTTGATGTTTCCATGAATTTCTACTGTGAAATGTTTTTGAAAATTTAATGAAACACTCTTTTTGCAATATATTTCGACAAATATTAATATTTTAGATAAATTTCATGATGTATCAATTGTAACTCATTCTTTCCGAGTTATAACATACAAAGCTGCTGTCAAACTGAACTTTGAATGAAAGTTCTATGGTTGATTTGGTGTTGACAGATGTGACAGTTCGCAATGTGCCGATCACTTGGTGTGTTGAAATGTATGATAGTGTAAATATTTTTGTTTGCGAAAATGTTTTAAAACAATAAATATTGAAAAATATAAAAGAAAAATAATCCAAAATCAATAGAATAAATCGAAATCACATCGAATTTGGAAACAATTGCGTGGAACCCAAACGGTTTTCGCGCGTTCAAATTTTGACATTTCATAAAGTTTCGTCATAAGTTTGTGAATATATGTTTCAATTTGGAGTTTACAATATGGATAGTTCAGTTTCCTAATATGAGATTTCGTGTATTTTTGCGATTAAAATAAAAATTAAACTATTGAATGAATTTTTCGTTAATCAACCGATACATCAAATAAAAGCCAAATAAATTCTCTGCCGAATAGATATAAACATGTTGGGAATTTATGAAGTAATTTTGTAGAAATGGACATGCAAATCGATAGTTTAAAAATTGATAGTTCATGTTATAAATTGGAGTGTTTACGATAATTTTTTGATTTTTTTGATTCAAAATAAATAAACAACCAATACTTTCTTATCGGTTTATTGATCACAGTAGCGTCGTGTGTTTAAATACATGTTTCCGTAGATTACACGCTAGGCAATAATATTTGGAATTATCACACATGATGAAGAGTTGTTGTGTTTTGATCGCTTTTATGTCTAACAAACAGTTTCTTCCAAATGTGGGGATTTTTCGAGCCATCATTGACACACACTGATGATTTTGAGAATCAAACAAAATAAATTGTAAGGGTCAATCATTTCAATGGCTCGGATTCGTTTGCCTTTGGAAAATAGAGGTCCTTTTGCCAAGAAAAAAGCATTCATGTCGGGCTCGGCATTATCATAGCCATGTACTCCGTACCTACTTTCATTTGTAACTGAAATTCGAATGAGTATTAAATTTTAGAACTTTTTCAAAGGGAAAAAACTGGTAAAAATACGAAAACACTGGATCACTTACATGAAACGTTAAACTTCTTCCGATAATTTTGAGCTGCGATGCCCCAGCACCTTTGGTTAAATTGACGAATATCTCATTTTCCACGGCTAAAATTGAACATAGTGATAAATTTTGTCGCTATTTCTTGAAGGAAAAAGGTGGCATCTCTGCTGACTTGGGTGCTTTTGCCGAATTGTAACACTGGCGTTGAACCATAGATATTGTAAGTATTGTTTGCCAAAAATACTGTGAAATCAATAAAATTTGACGGCGGCACACTAACCATTCCATGATCGGACAAATAAATAACATTGACACGATTTTGCAATTTGTGTTCAATCAATTTGTCCTCAATGTATCGGGTGAGATTATCTACTCTTGCTGCTGCATTCGTTATCTGTTGAAAGGCAAGTGAATCAATTGCGAAACTTTATCGGATAATAATAAGAAAAAAAGAAAAACACGTGAAAACAAAGGTCGTACGTAATGTGAACTTTTTAATCACACCCATCACACATCAATAAATCAACATTGAGAAGGATTTGTATTGGCGGCAATATATTACAATGATGAGCTTACATGAATTGAGTTTGGTCCGTACATGTGCGATTGTTCATCGGGCTCTTCGATAAACAACATGACCAGATTTGTTGGAGTTTGCTCGTGTGTAAACCAATTCATGATTGTATCGACTCGATCTTCAAATGGTATGCTTCCATTGTGTTCTTTTTGAAACGTACAGGATACTCCGTGGTATTCATAGTCACTTCCAGGCCATATGCAGCCAGAATATCCACCTGCTTTCTCATTGGCGGACTAGAATCACAGAGAGATATTTTCATTTTTACTTCCTTTGAAAATGTCTAAAAAATTAAAACTCATGCTGCTTAAAAGACGAAACTTTCAGAATTGTTGCGTTGAAATTGTCGAAATATTACAAAGCAATTAAAAAAGTTTAAATGAATTTGTAAAAAACCTTATCCAGAACATACCCATATCGGTAATGTGCTCTCATTGTAATGGAACAGGTCAAAGCCATAATTTAAAAGTCCCCTCGTTGAATCATACACAGAATTCGCAAGTACTCCATGGTTTCCGGGATACAAACCCTGGAAATGTTTGAAGGTTAATTGGGTTAACTGGTGGTTTCACACTTGAATTTAATCACGAATATAGAAAACTAGCCGAATCGGCTCGCTTCGCTCGTTCGCTAGAATTTATTTACAAATAATAATTCTGTCAATCATTTAGTTGGCTATGAAAAAAAATTTGTCAAAATTTTGTTTGGAGCATTGAATCTTCTATCATGTTCACCCGAAGTCACATTGGTAGTTGATGAACGAATGATCACTTGGTAGTTATCAGAAGGCATTAAATCTAAAGATGTCTTGAACAATTTAACCAACTCATTGTGCTCGTCAAACATCTTTTGTAGCCCTCATATTATTTTCCTTTTAACCTTCAAACCGTAAAATGTATTTTCTAACGTTGTTCGTAAAATCGGTGCCTGAGTGCCCATAATGCATTTTAAATGGAAATGTCAGTTTTCTTAAATTTTGATTTTTGAATGTAAATATTTCAGTATTTATTGATCGGAAAAGTATGAAAATTACTTTGAAATGTGATAAAGTTATAAAAATCGAAATATGAAAGGCAACAGCAAGTTCGTTGGAATTTTTTCAATAAAGTGGGGATTGCAATGTTGATCTCTTCACAAAAATGAAGGCAAAAACAAATACATACAAATTCCACTATAGCGATTTTGACGTCAAAAATTGAGATTTTGAACGGCAGGTTGGATCAAAAAGTTATGTATATCACTAGAAAGGTTTTGAAAAGTAGATGTCATTTTTGGTATAAAACTTCAAAATAGGCTGGCATTTGACCGTTGGATATTGATAAAATGGTCATATTTTGATGAAATGATGATTGATTTTGATGTTTTATAACTCAAATTACATGTACTTTTTAAGATCTTTCCAATGATGTATATTTCATAGTTCCCACATTAATTTTTAAACCCAATTTGTCGAAAATGTATATGGGCACTCAGGCACCCATTTTACGTATAGCGTATCACACATGTTTACGCGCATATGTGGTAAGCTAATGCGCGTATGTAGGTATGTTAACGCAATTTTTGTAGCCAAATGTTCAACTAATCGAACCATAGTTATTTTATTAATTTATGATAAGAAATAATTAAGATATAAGCATCCAAAGTTGATTTTGGGCACACGGTGCCCAATTTACGGTTTGAAGGTTAATACCGCTCATTGCAGCACACTGATGATCCACTTCTAATTCTTTATCACCGATAAAATAAATCCAATGTTCTATTTACTGTATGAAGAGTCCAAGAAACGATTGATAAGCCATTTTCCGTTCCACCGCATAATTCTTTCTTGCATTGAAGAAAGCAATACATTTTCTTCATTTCAAAATGAGTAAGGGAAAGGACCCAATGGTGGGACGGACCCTAATGTGGGACAG